CACTTCCTTCCTTCCTTCCGCCACTTCCTTCCTTCCTTCCTTCCTTCCTTCCTCCCTTCCTTCCTTCCACTGATCCCACTCATCCCACTGATCCCACTGATCCCACACAAAGAGCAAGAGGAGAGGCCAAGCCCCATCCAGCCTTGAGCAGGAATCACAGAATCCTGGAATGGTTTGGGTTGGAAAGGAGCTTGAGGATCATCCAGCTCCATCCCCTGCCACCGTCCCAGGGTGTTCCTGTCCAACCTGGCCTTGGGCTCTTCCAGGGATGGGGCAGCCACAGCTTCTCTGAGAATTCTATCCCAGTCCCTCTCCACCCACTCAAGAAATTGGGAAAGAATTCCCAAGAAATTGGGAAAAATTTCTTCTTCTCAATATGCCATCCTTGGTGCCTGCAGCTGGAGAACACAGGGACTGACAAATCATGGTAAGAAAATGATTTTTATTTCTTTTTTTNTTTTAAAACCTCTCAGAATTTAGCAACGATCGCCATGGAGACCAATCACCGAAATCCCTGCGTTGCCATGGCAACGCCTTTTTTCCCCCATCCTGCCTGTTTATCCTGGAGCTGCCGCACCGTTTATCGGCGGGGAGAATTTCAGAGCAGCCTTGCCTTGCCTTCCCTAAGTGCACGGAAGCAGAAAAATCCTCCGTGAGGAAATCACTATTAATAGAGATAAAACAGCTCCAGCGCGGATCAGCCCCGGCCTGAGGAGCTCTGGGAGGGTGCAGAGCTGCTAAATCCCAGGGAAAGGCTGGGAGAACACAATTCCAGCCATGGGGAAGGCAGGCAGAGCACGCAGGGATGGAGAACAGGAACCCACAGCAATTTTTGCATATTTAAAGCAGAAATAATTAACACTAAGGTGTGTATGAGAGAGGCTGGGCTGCAAGGGAATGGGATCCTGGATTGGGGATGGTTTGGGAAATGCTGCTGGGAGCTGCCCTGGAGTCTGTGGGTGATGCCCACATAGCCCAAAATAATCTCATTTCTTGCAAAATTGGAGCTTCCAGGGGGGTGGATTTATCAACCCAGCACCTGATGTCTCACTCAGGTTCTTAGGGTGTTCGTTGGGGTAAAGAGAGAGGGTTTAGACGGGATATTGGGAATATGCCACCCTGTGAGGGTGGTGAGAAACCCCTGGCACAGGGTGCTCAGAGAAGCTGTGGGTGCCCCTGGATCCCTGGCAGTGCCCAAGGCCAGGTTGGACAGGGCTTGGAGCGCCCTGGGATGGTGGAAGTGGCAGGGATTGGGACAGGATGAGCTGTGAGGTCCCTTCCCAAGCCAAACCAGCCTGGAATTCCCTCTGAAGTTTCATCCCTTCAAGAAAAGTCACCACTCAAGGCCCTTTGATGGACTCAGCTGAATTCCAGGAGCAGCTCCCCAGCCTGACATTCCTGGTAGATCTCAGCCTGGGAAATGGACCAAAGAGAGCAGGAATTCCTGCAGCCACTGCTGATTTGGACAGTTATGAGCTGCTGGGGATCAATGAGGTTCCCTTCCAGCAGATCCTCGTGGGAGAATCCTCAGGGATTGGTTCCAGGCAGTGTTTAGCCCAATCTCCTCAGCAGGGGCAGCAGCACAACTGGGAATGGCAGAGATCCAGCAGGGATGCTCTGAGTGCTGCCTTCCCTCAGCTCAGCAGCCTTGAGGGATGGGAATCGAGGTGCAAGATCCCAAATTTGTGATGGGCAGGAGCCTGAGGGATGGGAGCACATCCCACACCCACCCCAGCAGCCATAAATACAAAACATCAAATGCACAGTGGGATCAAGGAGTTTGGAAAAGCCCGCACTCTTCTGCACAAACACTGGGAGAAAATGGAAATATCCCTGAATGCACAAACACCAGGGGAAAATGGAAATATTCCTGAATGCACAAATGCCGGGAGAAAATGGAAATATTCCTGAATGCACAAATACCAGGAGAAAATGGAAATATCCCTGAATGCACAAATACCAGGAGAAAATGGAAATATCCCTGAATGCACGAACACTGTGAGAAAAGAGGCGAGGAAAGGAAAAGGGAAAAATGAAAGGAAAAAACAAAGGAAAAGGGGAAAAGGGGAAAAGGGAAAGGAAAAGGGAAAGGAAAAGGGAAAAGGGAAAAGGGAAAAGGGAAAAGGGAAAGAGGCACAAGGATTCTGTATTTCGCTCTCCTGGTTTTTATGCAGCACTTTGTGTCCCTCAGCTGTCATCCACAGCAGGAAATATCCATGGGATATGCCATCAAATTAAAAATTCCAGC